ATACATGGGTAGACGTTCACCTCCGATGTCGCCTGGTTGTTTTCTTTCCGTCGAGCGAGCTTCTTCCCGGTGGTAAGCCTTCTTTTCTCCTCTACTCGTTTCAACACTCGGTGGAAATCGCGTCTCCAGTGTTAGCGATTGCTAGCGACGTCTTCCCAACTCTCGATATCCATGTCCTCATGTTCCTTTTGCAGACATAGCCTCGAAGCGAAGAAGAAACCGCTCTCGTGTCCTCTTGCAGGTAGCTAGTTTCCCCGTACAGAATGATCTTCGGAATCCTCCCATGAGACATCTTCCTATCTACTTGGGGTGTGGGGGGGGAGAGGATTCATACCTTTCCTAAGGGTATTAGCACGCATGTGACTGTAATGGATTCGACTGGAATTCGAACTCGGCTCTGCGATTCCTCAATCCGATATCGCTATCCACTACTCTACCGTAATTTCTCATAGAAATACTCGATCTATGTGACTCTCCCCCCCCCAGTGAAATTAAGTGCTTTGACAAAGAAGAAAAGTATAATATTTGTCTGCATAAAAGACGTACAGACATATTAGGCCCAACGTTTCGGGAGTGCTTATTCAGAAAAGAATTTTTAAGCATCTACTGTTTAAAGGTACCTATTAGTGCATTGCCAAACACTACAAAAAGCGCTTTGGCTACAACAGAATATCTAAATATGTATATAAAAAGAAAGCTGGTCATATCGCTGAAAATAAAGCATGAACTCACAAGAGTGTAAAAATATCTCCCATATTCTGGCCTTTTCGTATGAAGCTCATATTTTTCGTTTTCCCTAATGTTATATTTCCCATTAGGGTTAGTGGTAGTGTTTTACCATTACAGTTATTTCCTTTCACTTACGATTCTTTCCTCTGTGGTTTTTAACTAGAAACTAAGAGTATACTGAGACTCATTTAAATATAATGGATCAGCTTGTTCCGACAAACGTTGCCGGTTCTCTATTACGATAATTCCTTTTACAGTACCGGCAATAATAATAATAATAATAATAATAATAATAATAATAATGATGACGTAAAAAGTTTTACATTGATTGACATGAGCGTATCATCTAACAAAAAATCTCTGCAAAGTCTTTTGAAAAACTAATTAAATACAAAGACATGAAGATGGAAATAAAACAAAATGTGGTTGGAACTTTGGGAAAAAAAAGGAACTCAAGTACAACACATCTCTTCAGGAAATCTAAAAGATAACTGAAATATTCCATAAGTATCTGACTATATTTCTGAGATGAGGTATTATGTACACTATTTACATTGTTCGGACTATTGTCCTCATCTTTGTCGCCATATTTATCACAACGTATCAGTCCTTAAGTATCTGTCTATATTTCTGAGATGAGGTATTATGTACACTATTTACATTGTTCGGACTATTGTCCTCATCTTTGTCGCCATATTTATCACAACGTATCAGTCCTTCAGTATCTGACTATATTTTTGAGATGAGGTATTATGTACACTATTTACATTGTTCGGACTATTGTCCTCATCTTTGTCGCCATATTTATCACAACGTATCAGTCCTTCAGTATCTGACTATATTTCTGAGATGAGGTATTATGTACACTATTTACATTGTTCGGACTATTGTCCTCATCTTTGTCGCCATATTTATCACAACGTATCAGTCCTTCAGTATCTGTCTATATTCCTGAGATGAGGTATTATGTACACTATTTACATTGTTCGGACTATTGTCCTCATTTTTGTCGCCACATGGCACAGTGGATAAAGGCATTGGTTAGATCCAGTGACAGGGCCCAAAAAGTGTGAGTTCAATACCCGGTTAAGGCAGTGGAGAACTTGGAGAGGGGAATAACTGATAACTGGCATCCATTAAACATGGCACGTGGAACTAGAACTGTCTACCCCAGTGAGCGAAATAAAGGGTTCAGTTCGACATTCCAACCACCTGAAGAAGACCGGAGCGTACAACGACCGAAACGTTGTAATAAATATGGCAACAAAGATGAGGACAATAGTCCGAATAATGTAAATAGTGAATAGTCCATATTTTGTGAACAAGCTTTTTTGTTAATAGTCAAGGGCAACAATAACAACAACAAAATAACATCTTTCGTATGCCCGTTGATCATGTGATTCTGAAACAACTACAGGTAAAAATGAATTAAACAAAAAGAAATATTGTTTAAGTAATATATAATATTATTTTGGAGTTGAGTTGGGTTAAATTATAGCTAATGGTGGTGTACGATGAGGATGAAATTAGACTCAAGGAGCCTTAAATTCTCGTATAAAACGCAGGGTGAATTTTTAATCGGATTTTCTTCACAAAAATATGAAGAAAAAAGCAGGAACTCGAAAACAAATTCGACACATGCAGAATCATGGCTGAAAATTTCTGTATATTTATATCTTTGGATGTTATCATTTTAACTGCGTATCCGATACAGATTTAATCACAAGAAAAAAAAAATGAGAATTTATCCTTGAACTGGATTCGATCGGGAAATGTTCAGCAGCCCACCACGCCAAATTTTTTATTTTTTACTAGCTGAGTTACCCGCGCATGGCTATGTGTCATACTTTTTTTGTTTGTTTATATGAAAATGATCTATTTTAAATCATTGTTTTAATTTGTGGAGAAAAATGATGCATTTCAATATTACTCAATGATTTTGCCGATGTGGCCTCCATCTTCTGGCTTTCTCCTTCTATATTTTAGATAAAAGTCATTCCCTTGTTCAAATTTAAATTTAATTTAAATCAAAGGGAATAAAAAAACTAGTGCGAGTTTGTGCAAAAACAGTTTGATCTGAAACATTTGATATATATTTGATGCAATACCTGATTGAATAAATGAATTGATGAGCAGATTTTAAACATTGGTTTGGTTTGGTTTATTTTGTTTTACGGCATATCAACCTCAATGAGTCATTTAATGCCGACAACTTTCTTTTTTTTCCTGGTAATATTTTTGTTTTGTCAATAATCTATTTCTGTTAATATATTTTTCCTCAGAAATGTATAGCTGGTAATATTTTTTCAAAAACGTATAGCCGGCAACAGTATTCTTTCAAAAATGTATGGCTGGTAATATTATTTTTCCAAAAACGTGTATCTGGTAATATTATTTTTCCAAAAACGTATTATCAGAGGCCTTGATGTTGGACGTAGTTTATCGTCTTACCCAGGACACGGATGTAGTTTATCGTCATACCCAGGATGCGGATGTAGTTTCTTGTCTTAACCAGAACGCGGATGTAGTTTATCATCATACCCAGGTTGCAGATGTAGTTTATCGTCATACCCAGGACGCGGATATAGTTTATCGTCATACCCATGACGCGGATGTAGTTTATCGTCATACCCAGGTTGCAGATGTAGTTTATCGTCATACCCAGGATGCAGATGTAGTTTATCGTCATACCCAGGACGCGGATGTAGTTTATCGTCATACCCAGGACGCGGATGTAGTTTATCGTCATACCCAGGTTGCAGATGTAGTTTATCGTCATACCCAGGACGCGGATGTAGTTTATCGTCATACCCAGGACTCAGATGTAGTTTATTGTCATACCCAGGTGGCGGATGTAGTTTATCGTCATACCCAGGACATAGATGTAGTTTATTGTCATACCCAGGTGGCGGATGTAGTTTATCGTCATACCCAGGACATAGATGTAGTTTATTGTCATACCCAGATGGCGGATGTAGTTTATCGTCATACCCAGGTTGCGGATGGACGTCATACCCATGGCGGATGTAGTTTATCGTCATACCCAGGACACGGATATAGTTTATCGTCATACCCAGGACGCGGATGTAGTTTATCGTCATACCCAGGTTGCAGATGTAGTTTATCGTCATACCCAGGATGCAGATGTAGTTTATCGTCATACCCAGGACGCGGATGTAGTTTATCGTCATACCCAGGACGCGGATGTAGTTCATTCTCATACCCAGGACACAGATGTAGTTTATTGTCATACCCAGGTGGCGGATGTAGTTTATCGTCATACCCAGGTTGCGGATGTAGTTTATCGTCATACCCAGGACGCGGATGTAGTTTATTGGTTGCAGGTTGCGGATGTAGTTTATCGTCATACCCAGTACGCTGTAAACATTGATATGACAGTTGAATTGTAAGGCGCTACCCACTGATTGGTGATTTTTTTCTCAACTTGACTTCCATATTGTCTCATTTTGAATTTGCCTCTGGCTTCCATCTTTTAGCTTTCTTGTTCTATGTTTTGGATAAGAATTATTCGCTTGTTCAAAATTAAATTAAATTTAAATCAAAGGGGGAAAAAGGGGAGTTCCTTTGATCAAAATGAAATATACTTATCTAAGTACCCAAGGTAATGTAGTCTCAGAATATATATGGGTGGGTCTATCTCCAAAACCATCGAAAGAGTTCGATAACAAACAAACAGAGGCTACAATTTGATATATATAGAGGTTATTCTTTGAAGCGTATGACAACTAAGGTTTATCCGTTTGAAATAATCTGGTCAGTAACTACATAGGTGTTCGTTTGGGAATACCAAATGAAGTAAGCTTGTATGAGCGCGTAGTTTAAAAGGCTTACAACCATATCACGTTGAAACATCGGTTCTCGTAAGGTCAGCGAAGTTAAGCAACGTCGATTCTTGTCAGTATCTCGATGGGTGACCGCTTGGTAATACTAGCTTCTGTAAGCTTTTATGTGCTGGTGCTACAAAGGCCTTACGGCCATACCACGTTGAAACACCCGTTCTCGTAACGTCAGCGAAGTTAAGCAACGTCGATTCTTGTCAGTATCTCGATGGGTGACCGCTTGGTAATACTAGCTTCTGTAAGCTTTTATGTGCTGGTGCTACAAAGGCCTTACGGCCATACCGCGTTGAAACACCCGTTCTCGTAACGTCAGTGAAGTTAAGCAACGTCGATCCCTGTCAGTATCTAGATGGGTAACCGCTTGGTAATATTAGCTTCTGTAAGCTTTTACGTACTGGTGCTACAAAGGGCTTACGGCCATACCACGCTGAAACATCGGTTCTCGTAATGTCAGCGAAGTTAAGCAACGTCGATCCTTGTCAGTATCTAGATGGGTGACCGCTTGGGAATACTAGCTTCTGTAAGCTTTTATGTGCTGGTTCTACAAAGGGCTTACGGCCATACCACGTTGAAACACCGGTTCTCATAAGTTCAGCGAAATTAAGCAACGTCGATCCCTGTCAGTATCTAGATGGGTGACCGCTTGCGAATATTAGGTTCTGTAAGCTTTTATCCCGAGTGGTATAAACGGCTTACGGCCATATCACGAAGAAACACCGGTTTTCGTACGATCATCGAAGTTAAGCAAAGCTGAGCCAGATCAGTACCTAGATGGATGCCCCCCTAGGAATACCAGGTGATGTAAGCTTGGGTGTGCGTGTGGTGTATCGGATAGGGGCTTGGAATTGGAAATCGGAGAACCAAGATCCAACTCCAGACTGGTTCGTTATCTTCACTTACGTGAAAATGCCCTTGGGAAAAGTATGAACCCACCTCTTATCCCCCCAGCTATGGGTTAATTAGTAGAATTTGAATCAGTTAAATCAATGTAATCTTTTCTGGCTTTAAATAACCTGCAAAGTCTCAAAATAACAAATCATTCATTGTTCTGTCCTCTAACCCCAGTTCTCAGGTGTGACACATACCACAAAGTGACTGGCATGGATACAACCTCAAACAAGTCACTCAGCTGTCCTATTCGCTTACAACCTGACTATATCCAGAAGTTTATCTGAATGAATATATTTGAATGGCTCAAATCGTGTATTGGTAGGCTTGTGCGCATCTCCGTGGCTGTATGTGTTTTTATGGATTACCAGTGTGTGTGGATGTGTATGCATCTGATTCATTTGCAGTGAAATCTTTGCCTAATGGGCCTTTAGGCTTTATTCACAGGTTTTGTGTTGTTTACGGCTTTGCGACACGTTGTTAAGTGAGAAAAGCGAAGTAAGTGTGAAATGACATCGGCGTGTCTCAATACGTTCCGATGGGAGGTGTGAGAGGCGTTAAAGAATTTGTCTTTTGTTATCAGCTTTCAGTCCACACGCATCAACACACGTTTGTCCCCAAACAAAGGCATACACCTCCGTTAGCACAAGCATATATGTAGACTTTTCTACATATGCATATATAAGGTAACATGTAAGTACATGCCTTTAAGAACGCATCCAGAGAAACGTTTGAAGTTAGTTTTGATGAATAAAATTTGTTTTTTTCAAAGTTGAACACGAATTATTCTTCTTTGTCGTGTCGCTTCAGGAAGTAGGCAGTCATCGCTCTCCACAGCTTCCTATCATTTGTATCAATATTTTTTTATTTTTTACTATCCCTCCACTTCACAAGATCATTAGATTAGATACTGTTTCTATCTGCCCTCTTATTTTAATCTAAGGCAGCGTTTCTCAACCTGGGTTCCCCGAAACCCTAAGATTCCGAAAAAGGTCCCCAAGAGTTCCGGGAGAACAGGTGAGATAAGATTTTAATCTGAATAGGCTTAGCTAGCTATGAATACGCTTCTTCTTCTTCTTCTTCTTCTTCTTCTTCTTCTTCTTCTTCTTCTTCTTCTTCTTCCCCCAGCTATGGATAAATAGCAGGACAGACCAAGTTCTAATCCTTGGATGGCAACTCGTCTACAGCAGAAAGAAATGGCAACCTACTGCGGGAAAAAAATCTGCCTCGTCAGTCAAGTATCGAAAGATACATTTTCGCCTAAGCTTGTATCACGCATGGCACATAATTGACTGACTGTTCGGATCAGCCTGTTTAGAGGATCGTATTGCGATAATAACATATCAACAACAGTGTGCATATATGTAAAACTGTTTGTAAGCTGATGTAAGTTCTTACTTTGCTCTCATATGAATGTGTATACACGTTTAAAATTAAGACTCTTACTATATTGTTAGCGATACGATCTGTGTTAGCCGCCAAGTGGTTCCTTGTAACTGATAATGCATTTTTGCTGATAATGTAGGAAATTCTATAGGAAAAAATTACTTTCGTCTTTTTATTTAATTTCATATACGTAATATTACTAAACACACAGAATATTGTAATATAAACATCATCCTATCTAATCTATTATATTATTTAAAAAATTCTTAGCCCATTTATTGGTTCACAGGACATTTGGTCTTGATTTACCTTATGTCTTTTCATTACTGCTAGTAAAAGATAAAAAAAAAAAATAAAAAAACTGATTCAGTAATTCTCTTGTGGGATCTTCCACAACAAACCAGCCTTACCTCTTTTTAGGAAATGCAATCTTCCTATCTGGTAAGTAGCATCCTACTTTCATACAAAAATCAACAAGTATTCATTGGTCAATCACCTCCAATCTAGCTTGCTGATTGGTCAGTTCCGACCAATCAAACCGTCTGCACGCGACCAATCTGTTTTTCCCGCGTTCTCCGTTTGAGCCTCCCACGTGGTACACGACCATTATATAAAACCCAGCACGTGTGAACTCTTTCAGTAGTTTTCCATTCATCTCTCTTGCACTTCTCATTCCTTGCTACCAAGTGCCAAGATGTAACCTTCAGGAACTCCCGTCTTAGTCATTGCTGGCCAGACGTTAAAGACAATTACCAACATTCACGAACTCTGAAATCACTCCTGAACTTTTACCTCATAGTTCCAAACTTTCTTAATATGAACTCCGGTACAACTAATACCTAATCAAAGGGACACGACTCTGTCCTACCTTTTCAGTTCGCATTCATGTACATCAAACATTAATAAATTTAATTGTTATGTTTTGGAATCATTCAGTTCAGTTTTGTATTTTATTCTATGTGCTATTTACGTCAAGTATAAATTGCATTGCGTTCACTGTGATTGTCCTTAATCTCATCTTTCCTAGCCAAAGTTAAATATTGGTAACTCAATCACTACAACGATGATAATCCAACAGCTACAATCTGTTTTCGTTTTGTTTACATTTATATTATAGGTATATGATATTGGTTACTTACGTTTATTTTTTACGTTTGAGTTTAGAATTTTATTTTGTGTGAATGAAAACTCCCTGATCAAGTATCATAAACGAACAGTATGAATTATATTTAGCATTACCAAAAAATTTGAAAAAGAAGTATTAATTTTTCCATTAAACCAGTTATTCAAAAATATATACTATGATGAAAACAAGATAAGATAGATATGATATATTTGTTTTTGCGTAGGGAATCCTTGAGACATGTAATTTATTTTAAGGGTTACGCAAGGTTGAAAAAGGTCAAGAAACGCTGACCTAAGGAATTCATTCATGACGGATAATGTACGTTTATATTCGGCAAAGCTTACTATTGCCCAACCCTGACGAAACAATTAATTAATTAATAGAAAGGTATTCACCCTAGATATTAAAGCAAGCCGGAAATCTTCGTCTAACTTATATATAAAGCAATGAAAAATATTCTAGAAAAGACTCAGTAAGAGGTAAATAAAAAAAATATTCTACAAACAACGTAGGTGCTCCTGCTATTTAACAAGCGCTCCTTGAGAAAATCCAAAGAAGAATCGGCAACATTATTGGCCTCGATCTGGCGTCTCGGCTTCAGTCACTTTCTCACCGCTGTAATTTTGCCTCCCTTTGCCTTTTCTATATATACTATCATGGTAATTATTCGGATGAGATCTTCGCTATGGTACCTAGATTCTTCGAATAGGTCCTGTGATTAACAAATTTTCCAAGACCTCCTTCCTGATTGCGCATTCTAGATTTTCAGTCGGGTCTGGTTCTAAGTATAAGAGTTTCCATTTTCCTAAAGACTTCATCGTTTCTCACATACTCCAACAAGGCTATTCTCATTATCCTTCTGTAGAACTATATCACTATTGCCTCAATTCTTCTCTTTATCTCTGAGGACACTGTACAACATTAACTGATTTGAACTAGGTCTTATATATAACGAAACAACGACAGGAGAGTTCAATATATATATATATATATATATATATATATATATATATATATATAATTTATTCGAAAATGATAACATAAATATGTTATAAAATCACTACAAGGATAGCCATTTTGTTTCAACACTTCTGGTGTCTTATTAAGTGATGGTGTTGAATGTAGAATGTAAGTTCTATATTCAACACCGTCACGTTCAACCTTTCTACATTCAACACCATCACTTGATAAGACACTAGAAGTGTTGAAACAAAATGGCTATTCTTGTAGTGATTTTATAACATATTTATGTTATCATTTTCGAATAAATAATTATATTTGCTGTACTCTGTATTGAGCACTCTTTTAATAAAAGTATTTTTTTGGTTATTGGAATTTATTCCGTATACACTAATCCTATACTTATATATATATATATATATATATATATATATGTGTGTGTGTGTGTGTGTGTGTGTGTGTGTATTCTGTTTATACGTTATTTTTATAGATACAATTATTTAATTAAATGCTCTGTTTATGATAAATAGTATAAATTACATTTACCTTCCTGAATGTCCGAGAAATTTCGTAGAAAATATATGTCCTCCAACAGGAATCGAATCTGTATTCTACACAGAACCGACTTTAGGCCTAACGTGCTATACCATTTAGCAACAGAGGAAGTGCCTGGATTGCAAAGTCAAATTACTGTTTAAAAAAAATTCCCACCATCTTTTCCTCTGTTGCTAAAAGTTATGCGTTTGTTAACCAGATATGCGTTTGCATATATCCGTTTGGTTATGCAGATATGCATTTGGTTATGCAGATATACATTTCGAAAAAATCTGAAAGAGTGATTTATTGTGGAGCTCTTCATAGCGATCAGCAAATGCACGCCGGTCCATACAATGGTTCCTTCTGCAAAGGGGGATACGGTTTCGAATCCTACTGCGGGGTAGAAGTAGTTTGAAGTAATATATATATATATAACGTTTGAAGTAATATATATATATATATATATATATATATGATAAGCAAATATAAATGGATATAAATCCGACAGAATGAAAATTTTAAATGATCAGCTTTCCGTTTGAGCGTGGTCACGTTGTCGTCAAATGGGCGACGCTTTCAAAACGTATTCTTAAAAATTTTTATAAAATTTGATTCTGATGGAAAGATTTTTCATATATACAGTTCGTTAGAAAATCTTTTCTGTTCTTGTAGGAATACGCGGAGACTAGTAGATTCCTGTATCTTCGGATAAGCATGCAGTCCTCCATGTAATAAAATGAATTCAGGTTTGTATTTCCAGTGGACAGTATGATAAGCAAATATAAATGGATATAAATCCGACAGAATGAAGAAAATATCTGAAATATTTAAAAATTTTCATTTATCTCTTTTGGATAAGACTTGTTTTTATGTCCATCGTTTTCGTCGAGTTATACTGATTATGTTAAT